AAGAATTCTTTCAATATCTTTTGTAACTCTTTAAGTTCATTTGCCACTAAATAACTCAATTAAAAAAATATCTTAATATTTATGTATGAGTTGTTCTACTCGTTTTGCTCATTTGGCTATCTTTTCTATCATTGAAGCAATATTTGGAACCACTATATATACTTGTTACTTATGTTATATTTTCTTCTTCATAAAGGTCATCCCTATAGATAAGCTTTTTGTTGTAAATTATTTTGTTACTTCATTCAATATTGAGGTATAAAGTATCATCTTGTATCAATCGTCTTTAAAGGAGATTGTCTTTGCTAGCCAATTTCTTTTGTACTAATACTTTTCATCTTTGTCATATCAACAGTCCTTGCAAGGCATCAATCTCCATTGGCATAGATTGTTGTGCCATAATATTGAATAATAATATAAGATTTTATATTATAGGTCATACTCCACGGTTTCTAAAATTTATAGCATTGACTCTCTTTATAATTCTAACTACCTCTTCAAATATTTATAAATCTTTTAATTCCACATCTCATTGAATTATAGGTTTTAATCCTTATACAAACCAATTCATCATCTCCACCTTTGAAATATTTTTAATTTTAAAAACATAGAGACTTGAATCAGAAGACATAATCTTACACTGACTTAGATTATATAAGGTTAGTCAATTGATTGTATGCTAACTTCTTTGCATTGATGGGCCAAAATTGATTCCTAATTTTAATCTCAAACTCCACTCAGTTACAAAATCTACCTTAACTTCCTTAATTTTGAGCTTGATGTCACTATTAAATGGCTGCCGCATCTTTCAATAGCTAGTTGCATACACAATGTTTTTAGTGGTGCTTACCCGAAATAGTTGGAGATATTGTCACATGCTAAAGAGCCATTAGCATACACCTCATTGCCTTAAAGTTCTAGAATTTGTTTTGAGCTTGCTTAATTTAAATCTAGTAGATGTCAACTTCTTTATCCTAGAAGCTTCTATTTATCCTTGTTGAATCGCTATTTGATATAGGAGGTGTTGCAACTAAGCTTCTATTTGGGATGGCTGTATCATATCTTCTATGCCGCAATTTTTTTGCCAAACTTTGTTATTGTAATGCCTTCTATCTTTTCAATTGACTTCTTAAAAATAGCTCATGATAGCTTCAAAATAGTAATTGGTGTGACCACAACAATTGACCTCTAAGTAAACAATGGCTATCAACATACTACTAAAGAATAAACTAACACTCGCTTTGATACCAATGAAATGGGATTAAATTCTTTTAAGGATATAAAAACTCTTCTAGTCTATAGCAACATAAATTCCATCACAAAGTAAGACAAAATAAACTAGAAAAAAAATTGAACAAAATTAAACAAAATAGAATATGAAAGACAAAATAAAGAGAAAAAATAGAAAAGAACAAAACAAAAAATGCAAACCAAATTTTACTAAGAGAAACAAATCAAAGCCATATGTGACTGAATGCTTCCAAATGGCCTTAATCACTCTTATTTATACTTTGTCCAACCATCTTAGAACTTTTTAGAATGTTTCTAATGGTGGATCCCTCTAAGATAACCACCTTTCTAAAAGATTCTAAAGGTAGATCCTACTTAGATAACTACTTTTTTAAAAGATTCTAGATGTAGATCCTACCTAGATAACCACGCTTAGTTTTTCTAAGATATTCTATGGTGGGCTCTATAAGGACCACCAACTTCGCCCCAATTCTAAAAACTTCTAAAATCTTTTCAAAAATAGATCTAATTACCTATCTCTATGCATTAATAATATAATTATATTATCTATGTTCCATTATATTTATATTGCCATTGAATTATAGTAATATTGAAGAGCACATGTATCACTCTCAGATCAAAATTGAAAAAGTTGTTTGTCATATTTTATAGCAAAGATAATTGCTTGACTCAATGTTTGAGGATCAAGTAAGTTGAACATCAATTTTTTGATCTCATATTATAATCTGTAGAAAAATTAGTTAATAAGTGCAGCATTATCCCACTTAATATCAATTGTAAGTTGTCAAAACTATAAAATATATAACATTATTAATTAATTATCTTATTACAATATATAGATCTTATTGATTGCAATACAAATTACATCATGTTTTTCATAAATAGATTAAAAATTTACCAAAAAAGCCTTTAGATTATATAATATTAGATCTCATTGTTCAAAAAAAGAAAAAAATTATGATAATGGTGAATTTGAAAGAAGTATATCAATGAATCTAACTTGTGATTTTAAAGTTGAATAGTTTTGGAATTTTAGTTCAATTACAAGTTCTACTTGATTAATAAATCTTCAAAACTTGGATCTTGTGCCATCAAACTTCTTGAGCAGTATAATCCTTGATTCTCTAACATTGGAAGGATGTTCTACAATAAGAAAAGAGACGTGATTTAGTGCAGATGTTGAAGCAATTACAATCATCTCTATATCTTTGCTTCTTGCGATTTTTATTGATCCTTGAGGTAGTAAATTGAATTGATGCATCACAAGTATTAACTCCCTCAATCTCTCTTGCATTTGTGCTATTGTACTCTTCATTTCAAGATGTCTAATATGTTATTTTTATTATTATTGTTTTTTATGATTTATTAATATATATATATATATATATATATATATATTAAAAAAATATATTATAAAAAATAATTTAAAGGAAAAAAAACTTAAACTATAATTTAAAGAATATTTAATTTAATTCTTAATATTATAAAATTACAAGAATTTACCTTGTATAAGATTAAAAGTTAGCCTTGTACAAGATTAAGTATTAAATGTGTAAACATCCACTCTTAGACTTGGCTTGGAATATGTATATATGTGATATCCTTACAATTATCATTCAAATTATTTTGTAGTATTGTTTGCATTATCTAAGTTGACGTCAATTATACTTATTATTAAGTGCTAGTAATTGAATGAATGAGTGAAGAAAGGATTTGGTTTAGCTAAGTTAAGTAAGTAAGTAAGGGAGTCAATATTGTTCAATTATAGAAGGAATTCAAATTTGAAATTATACGCCATAAAAGACTTTATTTTATTATTATTTATTGAAGTAACTTGCTTGTAATTGCAACAAACACAAATTGCTTGCTTGTTGAGATAGTACCTTATTTATAGAGCTCTTTCTTTTGCAACACACTTAGATTTTGAAGTACAATTGCTAAGCTTTGCCTAATAGGAGTGTATGTTCCATTCTTAGTTGCTTGGTAAGTTATGTGATAGCTAAATTAGTACAAATAAAAAGACACTCTTTATATCTCTTTATACAAGAACATAAATAGTCATGGCATCAAAATCTACACCATGGGATGCTTGTAAATGTATTTGAATTATTGCAATGTATTAGAATTTTGATGTTATTCAAGTTAGATTCTAGTACTAGTCAAAATTGATATTGGTCGTTGATTATTAGTTGTAAAAGGAGTTGTTGCCAAATGAGTTTAAAGAGATGGTTTTGGACCAATTGGTGCTGATGGTAATGAGTAAGTTGCCAAACAAACACAACATGATGTATTTCAAGGCTTGACCATTGGAGGAGGGGCTACTTGCTACAAGAGATCGATTAATCTTGATTGCACTAGATTGAAGGTATTGCCTTTGCTAAATCTTAATGATCTTTTGAATCTAGGTTTACATTCAATTTTTCAAAAAATGACAACTTCAAAATTTCTAAACTTCATTAGCATCCACATCTTTATAAACTTTTTGACTTTTTATCCTTAATCTTATCATGCATTTAGTTTCACAATGCAATGTAAAGAAAACTATTATTAGATTGTATTATACCTTGTTATAGACGTAAACTTTGATCGTAAAACAAGCATTGAATGCATTTAATTTCACAATGCAATGTAAAGACAACTATTATTAGATTATGTTGTACCTTGTTAAAGACATAAACTTTGATCATAAAACAAGAATTGAATTGACAACCATGTTTTACAATTTGATATTGTGTTTGAATCTAATATTGTTGTTCTATTTATTGGATGAAGTACTCTGATCATGGTTCATGGTTGAATGTGACAACACAATGCATTAGTACAAAGCCATTCATCATCTAGACAAGGTCAAACTTTTGAACTATAATTATTCACATGAATTATTCCATAGATGTAGTAATATAAATTCATGTAGAAAGCTGATCAATCTGGTGATTTCTTTCGATCTACGTATTACTACAACAGCACTCCAAAATATTTTGGGTGAAATTAAACATTGTCTAAATAACCTATTCTTGCAAAGCTGATGTGTGCATGGAAGAGAACACATAAGCAAACAAGTGAAGGATGAGTTTTTGAACAAACAGCATACAAACATGAGGTGTAAGAGACTTTTGTTTGAGGTATCAATTAAAATGATGAAAGCCCTTGTAAAAAATCAGAGACTATTCTGTACATACCATCCACATGCAATACAAGACTTTGACCATTTGTAATCAAAATGCACATACAAGATGTAGTGGTTTTTATATGATAACAACTTTTGCATGCATTGTAACTTGTGCATTTTATTACATGTCATGACCAAAGTAAAACAAACAAAATAAACTGTGTAAGTTTTTTCTTTATAATTTTTTCAATAATTTTGTTATGTTGAACTTGGTGAATTAGCACATTACACACAAAACAGACTATAATCATGAGCACAAAGAAGGTATCGATACAACAGTTTTGATAAAATGGTAACTTAACAAAAAGCACTTGAGGTGAACTTTAATCTTGCTCTCACTGTTCAGTAATGATATTACTCCCTTACAAAAAAATTAGCATGATGAAGAGTTTTACTTGATCCATATGAATAGTTTGCATACTGTGTGCATGATTCATATTTCGGTTGCAATCTCACTTTTTCTTTTATCTTATTCCAATCTGTAAAATTTCGTCACTGTACATCACTGTCTACTGAGTTGGATTCCATAGAAAACTTACATTAAATACACCTTCATTTTCAATGCTGAGGAAAACCAGAGTCTCATGCAACCAGCATTGAGTGATGGTTGGGAATCTCACTCCAGCTTTGGTCATACTCATCGTATTCAGTCACAATCTGTAAGTTAAATGTGATTCGTGTTTATGAAGCTAAAAAAACATCCTCATCACACACTCGTCACCAACACAAGGATCGTCCTGTTCTAATGCTTTACCATAACCAATGAACTATTCAACCCAGCACTCAAAACTATTGCACACAATGTCACATGTTTCATGAATACACCTGCTCCAAATGCCACACTTTCCGTTGCCAAATACTCCACAAATACTGATACACCTTCCCCTACCTCGGATGCGAGTGTCTCCTATGATACATCATGACATGAAGTCGCATGCTGCAGGCTCATCACCGACGACGCCCTTGCTCCAACAAGGCAACTGCCCTAACACTACCATGAAGCAAACCCTACACAGCTCAACATGCTTTCCAATGAGAAGAGGTGCACATGTTCTTGACTCCACGACAACCAGTTTGGATTACAGCCAAGTCACAACGTACCCAAAGTCAATTGCACATCTTACTCAATTCCAATATAAGCGACACGACAAACATTCAATGCAACACTGCTGCTTACTCTGTTACAGCGAAAGGGATGGAGCCTCGAAGTTCATCACCGGGCCACAATGTTCACCTCATCAGACCAGGCCACCTCGCAGCAAGCACGTCAAATATACACAACTCGCACGTCATTCTGTCCAAACGGAATCCCACACCCAGGACACTTCCGGTGCCGAAGTTCGAGGTTCCGTTGAATGCAAGGACTACAGAATAGATGGTAGCACTTGGTAATAACCACCTGTCTCCACAATGGTCCACCGATCAGTACAACACAAACTGCCCGCCCAACGCCGTTTACAACATCGAGTGACTGCCTGATGAGCACTACACGTGCACGTGTTTGCACTTGCCAACGATGTCCTGCTCGAACTACAAGCAAATTAGAGGAGTACCTCCTTGGATCGATCCTGACACACACTGCATTTCAATATGGCCTCGTAGTTCCTGATTTCTTCGCGTAATCGGTCTACCGTAGGTCCGCTATCGTGAGGAGTTTGCAGGCGTGTTATTTTCATATTCAGAACCTCCAACTCTTCTCGAGCTCTTCTTTTGTTGAACCTATGTCAAGCGGAACACATTAACCATAAGTATCTTCAGAATCTGCTTTAGGAAGTGAAAACAAGCTCGCATAATTTCATCCTGCCGTAGGGAATTTTGAAGAACTATTTGAAAACACGGTAATAAGCATAATCCACACGCAAAACTATGAAACCAGGAAAATCATTACTGACCTTTCCTTTTCTAATTGCAGGTTTACATTTAGGAAATTTTGACCACGCTCTTCCAACAATTTGTGAGCAGCATCAAGCGCTAACTTGACAGAAGACAACTGTTTCTCTGCTTCAACAGCCTTCCGTTTCGCACTTTCCATTGCTGACGATTGCTGCCGATTCTCGTCTGTTGCTTTCTCAAGATGAGCAATGAATGTACTAGCCTGCAGCAACCATTTCATCCAGCTTCATTATGAATATGAACTGTCAGTTGCAGATCGGTTAATCTTTGATCTATTGCAAAGATCACATTGATAAGAAATTGAATGAGCTTAAGAAGGGAAACATTAATCGACTAACAAAGCAGGAAGGTTGAACACAAACTAAACGCTCAAATTATAGAAACTGATTCATAAAGAGCTCAAAAAACCTGAATACTTCTGCACTCAAGAAACCCAACGATGCCTTCATTAATTCCAGTCCGACACTCGGTAACAAATCCACTAAATAATAAGGTGCATACTTGTTCTTCTAGATAAGTTATCCGCTGTTTGTGAAGATCAGCATCAGAATTTGCATGCTGCATATCGGCATCCAACACTTGCTTCTCGGCTTGTAGAGGAAACTGCAGCTGTCTCGCCTTGAGGCTCTCCGACATTAACTGGATTCAAACGTAAGAGCATCCACATCATTCTTCACACTGCTCAAAAGGACGTTATTTTTTAGTTCTTCACGGACCAGGAGAAACAGGCCAAAATGGAGGAGATTTAAAAGAAAGAATCTTAATGAAGTCCCGAGGCATCCTCTCGTAACATCAGAATAAACACCCAATGAAAAGAGCCGCAACGTCCGAAATTTTTTTAACAAAACATATCCACACACAGCTTAAGCCTTTGACATAACAATTCTTACAACTATACGTCCTATGGTGCAGCATAAAATCTCACCTGAGAATTGTACTCGTCGCGCTCTTTGATTTCTTGAAGTAGCCTCTGATTTTGAGTCTGCACGTCTTCGTACGCATGTAAAATAGCCTGCAACGTCGGGCAATAATTTATGAAGCATAGAACCCAAGCTGGAAACAAAGGAATACAACATTTTTGTGACAAGTTTAAGGAAGAACTGAGACTAGGCAGAACAAAAAAAACCTCCGATAATTGGACATAGTCAGGTTATTCAATCCAAAATCGTTGGTTACAAGAACTTAAAGATATTATAAAAAGAATGAGTTGAGAACGTACTTCTATTTCACTAATATATGGATCCCCTTCCTCTTTCTTGGCCTGCAGGGACTCCTTTAAATCTAGAGAAACCCTGCACCAAAGAAAGCAATAACTAAAAATCTAAAAACCAGATGCATTGGAAGTTGCACTGTTCTGAAGAGAGAAAGGCTGCAAGAGAAAGACTAACACATTATCCACAGAATATGTGAATATAAAGTATTACGAAACCTCCTGAACAACATTTGGTGTGATTATCAGTTTCAAACAGAAAATACAGGAAGTACAAGGATATCCCACGCGGACGACCATTGGTGATGCTATACATACGTAAATTGCTGCAGGTTAAGATATCTGAGTTTTCCCAGGTCGTAAATTTAAATTATACAACATAACTGAGGGCTTAGACTGAATATATTCAACACGTATAACTAAACATGATAGTTCTGTGAGTCTTTCGTATAGACTCGGAAAAATTCAACCACGACAGTAAGGTCATGAGTTGATGGTTATACCTGTACGAAGCTTGTAGACTCTGCCGCAGCTCTGCAATCTCAGCTTCCACTGCAGCAAGCTTCTGTTGACATGCTGCCTCTGCTTCATTTGCATTTTTTACGCGAAGTTCTAGATTGTGTTCGTCCAGGGCCAATTGCAATCGTCCCATTTCTGCCTGAGCTCTACACTCTTCCTGCTGTAACTTCCTCATTTCACTGCCAAAACAGTCCAGTTAATTTAGTTGCCTGGGCAGTTCACCAGGGTCAAGGTGGTTAGATATTTTTGAGAGAAAAGTCCACAACTAATATAAGATATAAGTCTGTTCGTATGTAGCAGCTTTCCATTACACATTGACTAAACTATGACATCTAATTCTCACAAGTGATCAAAACATTCACCTTGAATCATTTGACTCCTTGTTATACATATCGAAGATAAGCTTCAGTTCTTTCTCACTACCTCGCAAAACCCTGAACTGCAAGTTACAAACAGATATTCTCTTGCCTTTTCATCATTTCAAAGTAGTAACTGAAAAGAACGTAAAAATACAAAGTGCAGAATATAATTCCGGCATGACAGCAAACACAATCGAATCTCTGACAGGATGAAGTAAGAAAAGGAAAAAGGGAAAATGTAAAACTAGTCTTCCTCTCCACAACAAGATGGCCATCAATGAGCTCCAGGACGACAAAGCTACCTCATTTTGAAGTGAATTGATTTCCGAAACTTTGCGGGCATACTGGTCAGATAGAAGCCGAGTTTCCACTGTCTACAAACGAACAAGATCAAAATTAGACTGCACTTAATAACAGCAAGTTATAAGGTGATATGTGGATTTTTACAGACAAACAAACAAAATAAAATAGAACATAAACAAAAACCAACTGCCTATGAAAGCTGAGAGTAGTATCTAGACAATTGCAAGATGTGGCAAGCGGCATTATGATCAAAACCCATTTCATAATTAGAAGCCACTAGATTACCAGCTGCATGTATGCATGCGCATGCAACGCAGGTGAAAGATCATCTCTGCAACATCCAACAAATAATATACCAACAGTATGATAGATTCAAAAAACTACCGTACTTCTTTTCGCAGATGTGTCACAAAAGTGTTTGCTTACTTTCCTATCAATGATTGCACGTAAAGAATGAAGCTCTGCTCGCAGAGAAAAGACAGCTGAGCCTGCTTCTTTATACTCGAATAGTTGTGCTTGCATCATACTCATGTCTTTATGAAGACTGGTAATCACTTTCTCAAGATCAGCTACTGACTCTTTTCTTCCTACAAAATCGAATCAGACATCAAGGAGAGCCTAAAAAGACTAGATCGATGCGTATATTTTACAACATTTGCTCGCCAATATCAAGAGACTAAATAGTCGTAAGATCATTTCAATGTATACAAAAAATTCTCAAACGACTTTAGATACCCAGGTTTTCAGGGAGAGAGCATGATCTTACACACATTGCAAGACCTCGACAACACACACCTGAAGCATGAGTAGCGCCTTCAACTCTTAGACGCAAAGAATCACAATCAGACATGCACTGCCGTAACTTTAATTCCAAAGCTGCCGCCCGATCATCTGAGGTGGTGCTAGCCTTTTGAGCTGCATCACCAGCTTCAGTTTTCAATGCAATCTCTTTCTCGCGACGTAAAAGAGAGACATGCTCACCCTACACATAGAGAGATTTACGATCAGTCACGAGTCAATTGGATTATAATTCACTGACCTAACTCAAACTCGAAAAATGAGCAGTAGGATTACCAAGTGGAAACTACACACCTGTAATTGGTCCACCATAGCCCGATACCTCTCAACTTCACTCCTCAGATGTTGAACTTGCTCGGTTAGTGACTGATATTGTCGAGAAGACACAATGCGCTCTTGGTCATCCAGTTCGTTCTGTTCATCAAGAACGGACAAAGTCAATAAAAATCAATGATGTATATAGCCAGGCAACAATTACACGTATTAATTCAACATAATCCCCAAACCTAACCAAAACTTGAGAAAGAATCGTTGCAAAACCAACCTGCATGTGTTGAAATTTTTTAATAACATCCAAATGATTCTGCAAAGCTTCTTGAAGCTCCATGAGCCTTCGAGCTGCCAAAGTCTGCAAGCTCCAATAGCACGTTGGTGAAATTCTTGCAAACATGATTATACACATGCACAACCACATCGACTCCCTGCAACATACAAATCTACAAGCAACATGAGGATTCAATGTTAATAATACGTTTAGTCTACCACAGGTGTTTGCCTGCGCAAATACTCTTTGCTTGAAAGAATTTACAAAACGGCATGTGCCACAGGAGCATTCAATACCTTGACCTCTTCCAAGTCTGCTTCCAGTTGACAACATTCTTTCGAAACTTTTTCTTGTGATGCACCTCCATCTCCAAATTCAAATTTATTACTAGTTAAAGTGGCACTAGGTGTAGGCGGACCAGATAAAATCACATTTTCAGAACGTAGCGCAGCCAACTGGTGCCTAACACCCTCTAGATCAGCACAAGCTTCCTCGAGTTCGTCTGCAATGTAAATACCGTAAGTATTTAATAAAAATCTTGCAGCAATTCCTGTCTGTAATAGCAGATGAGGAACGTCACATATTTATGTGTATTCCATAGTGTTCAAACATTTGTAATGCTGAAAAATGTTAAAGAAGATAAAAAAGCCAAAATGCACCTTTTAATCGTTTGAGCTCAGCTCGATCCTTCGCTTGAAAATCATGACAAGTTCCAAGCTCAGCTGAGAGTTCTCGGTGCTTTAAATGAAATCCATCCACAAGACTGCGCAATTTCTTTGTTTCAGCATATAGCTCCTCATCTTCCTTTACAAGCGGAAGAAGGTTCACTGCTAAGCCTGCAAAACACACCTCGTGCCTAAAATTAGCAACAGAATTGGCAGCCAATTATATGCGTTAACAAATCACATCTACAAGTAGATTGATTAGAGGATACACTCTCGTGGAAAGAATCACGATCGATATGAGAAACATACCCAGTAGAACAAATTTTCATATCTTTATATGTAAAAGTTGTGATGCCCGTGCTAATGACAACATTTTGACAGTGTCCCCATTTGTGTAAATTTCTCACCATTGGAAGCAATCCCATTCAGGAAAGTGCTCAAAAGCTCTTCATTTCGAACTTGCTCATAATCAATGCTTTGCACAAGAAGTTTCAAGATTTCAGCGGTAGACGTCTGTTGACTGCAGAGTCCAGACTTAACGAAGTCGTTGCTTCCATTGGTTGTGGAACTTCCGGTAGCTCCGTTATCGAGAAACCGTTGGAGAAAAGTTTGCTCAGAAGAAACTGAGGAGTTGTTCCGATCTATCAACGCCAAGCAGTCTGAAATCACCACAACCTCAAAATACTGCATTCAAACAGAGCTTTCACCTGGAATCAGAATAATAGTAAAGACCTTGTATTTTAATTAATGAGTAGCCAACACGATATAATCAAAACTATAAACTCCACACGAATCATACGATAGAGATTCATAACATCACATAATAAAATGAAATCACAATATGACTCAAACGCACCATTAGAGGCAGGTTCCAGTAAATAAGTTCCATTAGATGAGGAACTGTATCGCACTGTAAGCGACTCCAAATCATCCACAACCTAAAGGGGAACAAAGAAACAAAAATTTAGAAGAGCCTCCTCACGTTGGAAAAGCTCTAAATGGTTTAATGTGCTTCACAATTTAATCTTGATTTACATTGCAGCTTGAGATAGATTAGTTGCACTGAGAGATTTTGCAACAACAAAAGTAACATCATTATTTTATTTTTAGAAATAATAAATAAAGAATTTCAAGGACAAACTCTGATCGCTTTACTCTGCGGCATAGTAGCAGTAATCACATGTGCCCCAGAGGAGTTGATAAAGATGACGCTTTCTACCTTCTTAACTGTCAATTTCCGACAATCCTCATATGTGACTAACTGGACCAGTGTACCTCAGTGGGTGACTTGAATCTAACCTGATTCCAAACCCGACTGACTTTTGAGAGATTGTCATCAAATGAGGCCTGGTTGCTAAGAAGTTGATTCAGTTTGCCCTCCAAAACATTTATTTCATTGCGCTGAACATAGAGCTGCTGGGCAAGCTTATGATTTTGAAACTGCAACATTTGGGCATCCACCTGCATTTCCACCAATCATCCGTCAATTGCAAATTGACCCCAATGCTTTAAACACGTTCTATATACTTCTCCGAAAGGTACAGGATTTCAGTACGCGAATTCCCATTATCTTGTCTAATTCAAGGCGTGGTATCTGAAACGCGAAACAGAAGACGCAAAGAAAACACAGAAAAGGGAAACGTACTTTCTTCTCTTCAGATGAGGGTGTATGAGGTTGTTTCTTAACTGGGGGTGACGCCAGATGATCTTTGTTAAGGTGGCGTCGTTTACGGTCAGGTTCTTCTGTGCTTCCCATTATTTCTCGACCTGGGATAGAGAGTGCATTAACCGGAGTTACAAATTCCAGTCATCCTCTCGCAGTCCCAATGTCTGTAAAAAACAACACATAAACTGCAGATTTGTCTGAGTACATTTGTATTAGAATCAGATTACTAAAAAAGTATAAACTTTACTCGACTCTCGAGAGATTGCTGTACAGAACCTTCGGCACAGAAAAAGAACACGAGCTACTTTAGAGCTGGTAGCGAAATATTTTATAAAGAGGAACCTTTCGACACTTCCGCAAAGTGAACGTCTAAAGACAAAACTATCAGCTAAGAATCTATGAACAGCTTGTAAAATCCTGAGATTTTAAAGTTCCTGCTTACGACAACTGGATACTTAAAGTAGTCGAAAGCTTCCGCTTGCTGATTTTTCTACCTCACTCCACTTGCACTGTAAGTCAACCCTAGGCTAGAGAACATGGAACTTAGACATTCATGAATTTACACAAGACTTCAACAAATCAGCAAATAAGCATCAATCCCCTACGTACAAGTATTGCAATAACCACTGAAAATGAGATTGCTGCAAGGGAAGATCCCTGCAAATGTGATCAATAACGTAAGAATCCGAGCTTGTGCAAATATATTATCTCAAAACCCAGCGATGTCAGGTTACAGACCAAGATACCGAAGCACCAGCAAACTGTTTATATAAGGGGTTTTCTTCGATCACCTTGCCCAAACCCTAAATTCACTTCACAGGAAAATTCTACGGCAGACGATTGCGATGCTTCGTACAACTATCCAAATCTGATTCAAGCGAGCTTTTCAACTTTCAGCTCCACATCTTGGACTCGAAACCAGTGGAAACCGGAATCAAGAATGCAGAGCCCAACCATTTCGAGCCTATATTACAGTACGCGCTCGTAAATTTACGCCCATGATTCAAGGAAGAACTTCAAATATTTCGTCCTTACTTCCAGCGACAACCAAAAATGCCCAACACGCTAGCAAGTTACAACACCAACTCGAGCGCAAGTACTGCCGAAAACCTTGACATGGTTCACAATTGCTCTCAAACCAAAAATACTCCCTACAACATCTACAGCCATTTTCATGACAAACGACGTTTCCTGCTAACTGTTTTCACATATCACAGACACGGCGCTCTCTCTCCCGCTCGTACTCACGCTCACTGACACATATACACATCACAAAACCATGACCTGTACACAAAACTCTTCACACACACACCTCCATGATCCACGTATCGTCACTTCCTTCTCTAAACAAACCAATAGCCACCGCAGCGAGGAAGCAATGAAGCCCAAATACCTGAACCTCCTCTCCCAGATTGGTACCCTACAGTTTGATGAAAACAAAATCGTGACTCTACATTTGTTCTGCGCAAACAAATGTAGAGTCACCCTGGAATTTATGAGGTGGCCATTCTGTACGATGGCAAAAGAGTGAATTGAAGGAGAGAAGACAACGTGAAACAAAACAACAAAACATAACAAACAAACAAAAAATCAATTGCTTAAAAAAAAAAAAAATGGGGGGCACGGAGAGATGGAGCTCCTGTAAATCTCAGTCTTCCTCGGACAAGTCGGCTCTGTGCGTGGCAGATGTGTGCATGCTTTCCATAGCCAGCAGGGACATCGATCTCCGCCACAACCAGGATTTCCTTCTTTTGTTTTCTGATTTTTCTCTCTGTAAAGGAGGTTATTTTGTTTTCAAGTAATGCGTTTTACAAAGATTTATGTTTCTCGAATTCATATTAATTTTAAATTCTTTTCTTTTCTTTTTTACTTGTGATTTTAGAATTAGAAATACAAATCCGGAAGGAAAGCAAGCACCACAACAAAAAAATAAATAAAACAAAAAGTAAGGAACATGGAAAAGTGAACCAGCTGAGAAAGATTAGGTGAAAGATTAGTCTAGTGCTTTGAATCATTGGTTTTCTTGAGGAGTATGGCTTATTAGGTCCTAATACTTTGCATACAATTGAACAAACAAATTCTATGCCTCATTAAATGTCCTTGAGGATGAATACTAAACATGTTTTCAGAACTATAATCTTACATATGCTTTAGTATTTTATTTTTGCTAATTGGCAATGCTAAAAAAAAAAATTAATTATACAAATATTAAAACAAAAAGAAAATGTTCTTGTCTTATGTCTCTTTCACTTTAAAATTGTATAATGAAGGATTCTTTATGTTTTCAATTGTAGTTGCTCTAATAAACCTGTTTAATTTATTACATGAATAAATTCAAATTAGAATCCTAATATTTTTTCATGCTGTAGAAAGAGGAATCTAAAAGATTTTATGATGAGTTTTAAAAAAATATGATCTTAGAATTTTTATATATATATATATATATATATATATATATATAAGATATTATCAAGGATATATTTCAACAATGAAAAATTAATTTAATCAAGATATACTATTTTTATTAATAATTATTATAGTTTATTATTTTCATTATATTTTCTAAGTATACGTTTTATATGGAATATTAAATGAAACAATGGATCTCCAATTCTTAAACTATGCTATTGTTTTATATTTATAAAAAGATGGATAATACTATTATATTTTAAAATAAAAACCATTGTCTTTTTAGTGCTTGATTTATTATATTAAAATATTCATATTATCTTCCAAAATATTTTATAAAACTTAAAATGTATACTATTTAGATTAAAGATCTTTTTTCAACTATTATGTCTTTGATTTTATCTTTAAGTTTTGTTTTAATATACAAAGTAAAACTATCATTTGATCATCTAATTTATAATTTTTATTAGAATTATTAATTTAGAATATTATACTAATTGCATAGTTGATTGGCTAGTAAATTATTCAAGTTGACATTATATGTCACTATAAAAAGAGAATGAAGACTTATAATTTAATAAATCTAAGGTTTGAACTTTCATATTTAGTTTAAGTAGATCTAAAATCCAATATGTTAGAAAGTCCTCTTCAAATTTGGATTTGATTTACAAAGAGCTTGTTGATCACCTTAAATTATTACTAGATTATTAGATTTTTTTTCAAATATTGATGCATCCATGACATTATTCTAACTTCTAAAGACAAGTTTTACAAAAAGGGGCGATTACATATTAAAAAAGTCCAAGACATGCAAATTATATTTGCCACATACTTTGATCTTTGTTCTCTTTGAGGGTGGTTTCAACCATTGATAAAAGTTCTATACTACGGCCAAAAGACCACCCTATTATATGATTATTATCAAGGCCTTCTTAACTTTCTTCAAATAAAACATTTTGAACACCTTTAAGAGTGGTTTTTACTTATAGTATTTCCAAACATTGAAAATCTCTTCTAAAGTCACGATACCAAACACATTATATCTTGTTATTAATTCAAGGAAGAATATGTTGTTCATAAGGGTCTTCATTTCTATTATATCATCTTGAAGGCTATGACAATTTCAATAGCTTATTTAGTAATTAAGCAAAAGATAACTCTTAAGATGAATTTGTTATGTGTTGATTCTTCATCTCTTTAATTCTACAAATTTAAAGAAACTACAAATAATGATATGCTAAGTTAGAATACATTCATATATTCTATCATTGGACAAAATATATAAATGGAAGATTCACATATCAACCTATTCATATGTTCTTTTATTGGGTTAATAAGAAACTACCTCCAAATTAAGTACCAAAGAGAATAAATATTTATAACATATATTCATCTACATAAAAAAATTGTATAGATCTAATTTTTTTCAATTTACCCACTTAAATTGGTATTGATATTGGTAGCCAAGGAAATGAAGATAGCCTAGAGATAGTTTGAAGGGAAATACAATATTTTAAAACATTACAACAAGTGTAATATAATTAAACAAGAAAAATAAAGCCATGCCAACATGTTAGCTAAACCAAGACAAAAAGCAAGACCATTTAAATATTACATGTAAAAATTACCGCACTTTTAAATACATGTTAAATACATGTGAAATACTCGTACACAGCAGTGGGTGGATTCACAAAATATTTTCCCAACTCTTTGCTATTGTTTCTAAAATTTCTAAAGATGGTTGCTCTTGAATGCTGGCTGCAAATTGACACAAGCACGACTAACTGGAAGCTTGTATTAAAGTAGAAACATCAGTCCTTCTTATGGCCATTATCAAAATAAGCTGCCTGTTTCTGCTTGACTCTCCTTGCTGTAGGATCTGAACTTCTTTCTGACTGTGATGACATTATAAGAACCTGAAAAGCAACAAGCGAATCAGTTCCATCAAACTTCTTGATAACTCGATCATTTGCACTCAAGAATAGCCAAGCTGCAGCAGTAAGCAATCACCATAATTAAGAGAAAAGCGTTCACTTCTCTTGCTACTAAATCCAGAGAAAATTTTCAGTAACCCAAACGATGACAGAGAAGAAAGTAAAAAAGTGCATGAGTATTTGAAAGTTCATTAGCATATGCATCTTAAGTTGTTGACTTGCGAATGCGGATGCAAACAATTTCTTCCAAATTCGTCTGGAGAGATTTAATAAACAAATTGCTTAAGACATCAGAAAAGATAAACCTGAACACATAGCATAACGACCACGAGGACTCCGACCACCCAAGCGATTCCCTTCCACGTGGAAAATATCGGTCTAAGCATCCACCATGCTGCAGCTAGCAAAGTAATTGCCCAGGAAATCACAAACTGCACATCATCACCAACACAAACTCTCAGCACCCAACGTGTAGAATGAGACAGAGAATATATGCTTACTCACTAGAGCTACAGAAGGGTGACAAGTGCGAGAGACATTCAAGGTTGAGAGTTTGAATTATGTTTTAAAAGAGAGTTGGAAAAGACTTTACTTATCCACTTAAATGTGACGCAGTTAACAGTGCACATGGTCCAAATCATCTTTACTGAGTAGGAGTCATTCAACTCACAATAAGAGGTTTTAAAGGCCGTTCAATCGGAATATACAAATCCTCTCCAAACGTATTTTCTTTCTCATGCTGCTCCAGCCGATCATCCTGCACAATAGAACAGAACAATTACATGTGTTAGAAAGCACTTGCCAATACGAATTCTTCCGTAAGAACGTTGGGCATGTGACAGATTTCGAGTGCAACCTTGATTTCGAATGCATCATGGCACCATTTGGAGATTTCATTGGCCTCTTGAGGCAGATCAGACATAGGAACCCACCTCACGTGGACATGAACCTGTCCAAGTAACCAAAGAGTAAGCACTTCCTGATGTAAAGCAAATACATCAGGAAAAAGAATGTACAATAAAATTAGCTGCAAATGAAGGTAAACGTATGCAACGTGAGACTCAAACATACAGATTGTGCTTTACCACGGATGGTTGCCCTCTGAAAATTCGGACCATGGTGGGACTAGGCAGCTCTTTAGATACAGCAACAGTCATGTCATAAACTGCTGGTACAAACTCACGCAAGTTCTCCACAGCTGATACGAACCCCTAGAAGACAAAAACCGTAGTCAAAAATCAATGTGAACGCAAATACCATTAATTGCAAATCATAGTTTCATGAAACAAGACCTTTTCCGGATGGAAGCGTGCATATAAACTCATGGGTAAACAGTGCTCCTAAGAGTCTAGTGTACATCTCAAAATCAAATGCAGAATCAAGATTTTCTGCTAAAAAACTTACGTTATACAAGTAATAACATGTCAAAACAATACTTAGAAAAAAGTTGACAAGTTCTGGTCCACTTGTTGCAACTAATATCAAGAATCAAAAATGCATGTACCAACTCACCTTTGTGCGAGGAACAAGCACATGTCTTGGAACACGTAGCCCTGCCTCAGTTGCATATTTACGTGCGGCTTCAAGCTTGGCCTTAGTAAACCGAGTACCTTCTGCAAAAAGAGCCACTCACAAGGTCCTTGGGAAGCCCTTCAGGCTTGAATAACCATTCTGCGCACACACCAAGACAGACATGTTTCAAAAGTGCAATACGTAATTGAAGCTTACATCTTAAAACCTAACAGGTACAGAATAACAATCAATTAAATTCGCGTGAGGAATCAATACCTTCAAAACTTTCTCGTCTTTGGTCCAATTTCTTGACAAAAACACATACTCCGAGAACCACATAGACCAGCCAATTACCGGAAGAAATTTGGTAGACTTCTTCATGACAGCTCGAGTCCCACCTAAACACCCCAATCTCTGCACCACCATAAAACACCCCCTTTTTTAGCATAAGCAAAACTAGAACGGCGGACGTGTTCCAAGTGATACTATACCAAGATAGAACTTTTACAAGAGATTTCTGAGACAAGTTGGAAGCAAAAAAACAAACCTGAGCAATAATCCACCCCACGAGCCAATCAATGTCGCTGCGATGGTTGCTAATCACTAACGCGCGCTCCTTCCCTGCAGAACACAGGAAACTAAACCTATTTTTCCAATTATCAAGCATGCAGCACATCCCGAAACACATCAAAACTGCACTCAAAACAATACCAAAACACATCATATAAATTGGGTAACTCACCTAAGTGCTCCGACGTCTCCCTTGGCGTGTAAACCTTCACCTGAAACAAAACAAATATTAGAGAAATAAACAAAATACAATTAAAAGCTCCACAAGTACTCAATCAGGACCTGCTGATCCTGCCCAGATCTTCAATTTCTCACAACAGCGATGTCAGATTCCCGATAAGCACAAAGAGATATCCGCCCAATCTGCCTACCTTCACTCCTGCCCACCAGTCCAGCAGCCATACGAGCTCCGACCACAACGCCTCCATCATAATCATGTTGACTACTCTATATGCCCTCCTCGAAAATGGCAAAATGAACAACACTGAGATCACCTGCAGTAAGACCGACAACCAGGGCATCCATTACAACGCCCGCTGCGCTAAAAAGAAGTGAAAAAAAAAAAAAAAAAAAAAAAAAAAAAGAGACAACCCAACAACAACAACAGCAACAACAAGAAGAAGCTCATAGAATGCTTCAAAAACTTTACAGCTTCGAGAAACAACGGCAATAAAACTCCATCGAGACGATAGAAAGCAATTACAAACGCTTCCGCCCTAACCTGAAGGCCATTGATAAATAAGCCGGAGAAGATGAACATGAGTCCCAGAGGAAGAGCGATTAAGGAGCCCCCGCCCTCCATAGCTCGCAAACTGAAGTATGCTACGCAATGGAAGCTATCTAACTTCTCATGAAAAAGGACTTGGGAATTACGAGCAGTCAATGGAAGACAGCCCAAAGCCATCACGCAACGCAATGCCCGCATCCCCGCACGGAACCAGGCCGATGCCCAGCTCATTGAACGTCGAGGGACACGGACCTGTCGCTTTGATGGGCAATGAAACCGAGGTGGAAACTGGCACCACTCCACATGACACACACTCCCTGTAAATACCCACGCACTGGTTCAATTCCTCAAGGATTGTGCACCGCTACGTGTTGGTAAAACACACCATCATCATCAATAAAAAAAAAACAACAAACACATGTTACTTCTCAATAGTGAAGGGAAACTCGAACGTGATCAAGCATGTTCAGAAGCACGTTTTAGGTTAGTATTTGGGGATGTCCTGTTCATGCTGATTTGGACCCATATTTGTATAAATCTATTTCTGCACATGCCTGTGTGATTTTATTAAACGTATGTGAGAACGTCTAGTGTTTTGTACAGTTTCATTAAAATGACTGCTGACCAAATTTTGGTTGATGGGTAAAGCTGACTTTGAAACAATCTTCTAAAACTAGTTCAACAGATAATATAGTATTTCTGAAGGGATTTATGTGAGCATTATTTTCAACAACATGTTTAACCATCTTAGCCTGTGATATTGGTGGAAGAGGTAGCATGACCTGGCGCATGAGTGTTCTCATAGTTTTCAGCTGTTGACGAGGCTAAATCACTTACAAAGGTGTTGCTTTCACATGCAACAGAGCCTGTGCAAACATCACCGTTTTGGTCTGACAATATTATTGTCAATGGCAGCAGGCAGTTCATTTGCAGGCGAAAACAGCACACAGAGAGATCGTAATTCGCATTATGCTTAACAATGAAGCTACTTAATACAGCTTGGTACTCGTTGTTCCGAAAATCTCAGAAAGAGGAGTACTTGTTACCTTTTTACAAAAACAGTTAAATTCTGGCAGTTGTGCTTCAAAAATCACATCATTTGACCAAGTCTCGAAACTTAAGCTGACAAAAAGCGACGTTCATGAGCTGAGCTCTATCTTTCTCTCAGGTCTTGTGGTCATCTGAAGATAAGATAACGTGAAGTAACCACTGAGTTGTGTGACATTGTGCTGTGAAGAAGAATGAACGTTGAGCTTCATGGATGATGCCCATATGCTTACGAAATTGCCAACTCACCCCCAGACCATTGACGTTGCACATTCGGTGTGCTCATGGATGACCTAACCATATCAAAGCTTGAATTTAACACACATATATGGAGTTTCCAAATGGCATTAATTGAATCGCCTGAACTAAACTAATGCAGTTGACATAAAGTTTTACAGGAGGATCTAGTTCGTGGTTCTGGGAATCTCCAGGAGTCCAGATTTTTTTTTATTCGAAGCAATCTTCTCGCACGCAAGCAAAGTTTCCTCAAGAGAGATGTCACCAGGTTGTCAGGATTACACCTAATCAACCTAGAATGTGACACACATCAAAGTTCAGAGTGGGTGCATACTAGTTCATTGGAAGGGAATAGATCAATGGGAATTCTTTTGCTGAATACATGTGATTTAATTCTTTTCAGTGCATTGCTCTTGCAAAGACAATCTTCACCGCTCTGGACATTCCAAAATTCTATTGATATTGAGGATTTAAAAGTGGCCAAAGCGTGAATTAAAATGCATTGTGATCACTTGCCACTTCAAGAAAGAAGCATTAAGATATTTTAAAGAATCGATCTTCTCTTCTACTGAGAACAATACATCTTACTGCGAATTTCCATGTAAAAGGTTCTCTTGCATTTTAAGATGCTATATTGGTTGACCTCCTATGCTGATGTCTTCTACTAATCCACATATAATCCTAAGAAACGGCGATTGGTCCTAAGTGGTAACAACACTGCATAGAATAGTTTCTAGGACGACCGCACAGGTTGTTTTCAAGGTAAAATATTCACATATTTTATCTTTCATGAGATCCTTCGGAGCCTTCAGCAGAAATCAGTTACCGAAGTGGTGGAAAGTCTCAAATAGCTTAAGGTTTAAAGGAGATCCGAAGTTTACTGTGCACTTGTGGCACTTTCGCAAGTTGTAGGCTTACAGTTTATGTGTAAACTTTCGTTCGTGAGCGAAAAAAAGCCAGTCATTCTGGTGCATGACTCTCGAAAATTGGCAAGGATTTGTTCTCTCTTCCTGAAAGCAGATACTGTTTGGAATCAGCAGAGCACCATGTGGTCAGTCTTAGACGAGGTACTTTGCGTAGCAACATTGATCTATTGTGGTAAGGACAAGGGCAACAGCAGTAGTGAAGGCAGAATCGGGGGTGGAATTGGAGGCGGATGTGGAAGTGAACAATGAGGTCCAAACAGAGGAAGGCCAATCTTTCTGAAGTAACTCGTTTCAGAGTTATAAAGCCTTCTTTTGATTGTGAGCCTCTGCTATACTCACCTACTGAATCTGAGAAACAGCTGGAGCGTCAATGTGGTTAGAATCCTGAATTAGAGCAATGTTCATGTTTCTTAAATAGCACTACGGCGAGAAGAATTGCAAAATTGGGCTTACAAATTCATGCTGTTGCACTTCAGAGACAAAGATGAGTTTCGCAAGTTTTAGTTAACCTGTGCAAGTAATGGTCAAGTTTCGTTAAGAGAATATACAACGGAGAACCCTCAAACATGGTTACACACCGTTAAGACATGGCAGTAACATTATCGAATGAAAAAGAAAGTTTTCTTGAAGGTGAAACCAATTTGATTCAAAACTGCATTTTTGCTTATAATATGGAGTCAATCTTAATGAATAATGTAAGAAGGAGCTCGACAGGTATAACCACTGCTGATATCCAAAACTTGAAGAACAACTGAGAAACATTGAGAGCAATTAGTTTTACTTTCCTACAAGGATGGTCAAAAAATGCCACCCTGAACCTACGCAAAATCTGAAGAAACTCTGTCAAACAGAATGAAGATATTCTTTCATGCCTCAAGGTAAAGAACGTGTGTAGGGCAAGTCGGATCCCAATTCTGCGTGTTCCCTTCGTTCTTCCTTGACCTACAACAAGAACAAGAACAAAACAAACTGAGCTAAGATTATACAAATATAAGCAAACCAAATATGGACAGCCAAAACATCGTGTAACTTTAATCCGTGATATAGCGACAACTCACCAGCTGCAGAGCATCTTGCAAATAGGGCTCGTACGGAGTTTGCTTTGCCTGCAACAAGACAGGTGGACGATATTAGCGAAATTTAATGAAAAATCAGAGATATAAATCACAAAACTAGACTGAATCCCAGTGCCATCAATTTTAATACATGAATCAACACGCGTCAGGAACATGCGTCCGGTGGACGAGCGGACACTGCCACTTGGAGGTCCTCTGCTGCACCAGGTTAAACACTGCTGCATGGATTTTGTAAGTCTAAACAATAGCAGACATTTAGTGGACTAGAAGCAACCACATAAGTAAACTAATTTCAAGGCGGAAAAAGCTATTATGAACACTGGTGATGTTACTGGGTTTAACGTGAATGAACTAGCACTTGCAAAATAATAGCACAATGCAAGTTCAAGAATGCGGAAGGTGAAGTAGGTTAATAAGTACAATTCCAGATAGTATGTTAGTAAATAGCCATCTACCTAAAAGCAACTGAAGAAAAATATTCCCCTGGAGATCAAACAGACTCGAACATTTCCACATACTGCACCAAACGATATTTCCCAAGCCAAACGCTTCCTAATTAATCAAAATACGATGCAACTGAAATGGCGCCAAACCTGCAATTCCTTAGGCAAGTATTGGTGCTTCATCGAGTAGTCCATCGCCCGTTTCAGACGCTGATTCCGCAAGTCGACCTCTTCCTGAGGCAGCCGGCTCAAGGCCTCCTTGATGTCTAGATCATACAAGTCGTCATACAAGTCATCGTACCGCAGACCTTCGTCATCGATTTCCCCAAACAGAATAACATCACAGATCAGAAAAGGTAACCGAAACAAACAAAAATTCGACTCAAATCGCCGAGACTGACGAAGGAACCAGAATTCAGGTTACATCTTGAAACTGACCATATTTCTTGAGCTCCTTGGCAACAGCAGCCTGGTAACGGCGAGACGCCCAATTCCAAATAGGGTCGAAGGCCTTCTGCAAAGCCTGCTTGGCAGCCATGGCTTCGATTGGACACCCTCACGTGCTGCGTGGATTGCAGGATCGGTGCACACTGCAAGAAACCACCGAAGTTCAAGCAGCAAGAGAGTTTTGTCCAGAGGAAGGAGAGAAAGCGATGAACCAGCACACCGCTCCTATGGAGGGTCCCAAATCGAGGTCCCGGTCCACGTAGGATTGGCCCTCATGCCTCGACCGACGGATGTTGAATACTTCATCCATCGGGAAATTTTAAACCTAATACAATGTGAGCACACGCGAACGGGAATAACGTTTAACTTGTAATGACCTACTAGAAAATAACGTTAATTTCGGCATTATATAAAATATTCAATTCGTCCCATCAATGCATCCTGGTTTGTTGTTGGATGGGTGTCTTTTGATTGAATGACAGGGTCAATGACTCAATTGCAATTAAGATTCCAAACAAGATTCTAAGTATGTATATTCCATCTGTCAACATCTTTGTTAGATTCAGAATGTTGTCGATTTTATTCTTTCATGCTCTGTAGAAAACAATAGTGACCAAGAGTTTTTGACATTATTCATCCATTGCCATTGTTTCTGAAAATAACAAATAAAACGAATGAAATCTGGTGATCATTAGCTTTGTAATATAACACCCTTTAAAATTTTCATTTTCTTCTTGTTCTTGTCTAACTTTTGCTAACGTATCATGAGCTTAGAAATAGAGCCTATAAAATAGATGGCTTCCTTCCAAACGATGTTACAAGCTCCACAAAGTCAGTAGGTTCATATTTTGTATACATTTACGTATACATTCTCCGTCAAAAACAATATAATTGTAAATGGTTGGATGTAAACCCTTCTTTTGGCAGAAAACTTATTTGATATCAAAGCTTTCTGAGTGTCTTAAAAAAGGAATATTCAACAAAACAAAAACTAAGACTATACACTCATGACCGTAATTATTCTCCGTGTTTGAATGGTTTCTCTTCCTAATTAGTCTCACACACTCTAACAAAGGTTTAGAGAAAAACCCCAAAATATGAATCCCTCAATAGGGGGTCAGGAGGCTAGCTCCCAGCTCTGCGCAAAATACACAGAATGTGTGATTAAGGTTTCAAAGCAAGTTTAGCAATTTCGCAACATTTCATCTTGGTGGTTGAGCTTTCCTTGTTGCGTTTCGGTGTGAGCTTTCCTCATTACAATGGAGATGTCTTCAGCTTCGCCAATTCTTGCCGCACTTGCACAAATGCGATTACAAGCGCTGGCAAGGTCTCGAGCTCAAGCTCAACCAGTATGCAAATAGATAGAGTAGGAGCAAGGGGAACAGCTCAAGCAACCAATCTTGCCTATCGCGAATGTTCAGGAGCCAAAAAAAAACAGAAGAAACGAAGGAAGGCGCTACAATATGTTATTACGCAGGGTCGTGAGAGGTTCGTAACGTGGATGTTCAACGACGTACAAGAGAATGAACAATCAAGAATGTGTTCAAGGGCAATAGTCACATTTTCGACTTTGTTCAGAGCTGACAGGAATGCGAACCTCAAGAAGGCATCTGACTGGTGGAGAAATCGAGTTGCTTGGCAACACATTGACAAACAAACTGAGATTTCTATTAACATGCGCCAAGATGGGATTATACAGAAGGCATTGAGTGACTTCGCTATACCCAGGCATATTGAATGAGTTCAATTGATTGAGAAAAACAGGAGTGAAGTTCAGTCCAAGACTATTGCAGCAGTTGGGAGAAGCACATTCTCGATAAGCTTGGGCATTCTCATTTTGATTTGCGAGTTGATCTGCAGAAGAAGATTTCTACTCGTTGGATTTAGAGGTTTATAGGAAAGTGCAACATTGTTGGGAAAAAACAGACAGGCAAATTGATGGTGCATCCAGACAGGCAGGCTCACATTGACAAGACTATCGTTTTTCACTTGGGACAGGTAAAGAGAGACTTTGAGAACGGCCCAGTGAGTGAAGATTTTGGAGAGAATGTTGATGAGACCCATTTTGTTGTCAATATGGACAACGGAAAGACATTGGGTTTTCGCGGTGATGATAGTGTGAAGAATACAAATGTTGTTTCTGGCGGGCAGGGAATGACTATGATTGTCCACCTTTCCAGAGAGGTTCGAGCTTCCATTGAGGTGCTTATGCTGGTATTCGGGAATGCAAAGTGCGCTTGTGAAATCAGAGGTATTCGTGATGATGTTCCTGGTATAGCATACAGAACTGCGAAGATAGGCTTTGTGACAAGAGCTGTGTGGAATGACTGGTTGAATGAGGAACGCTGCCAAGTTACTCCGTTGCAAGAAAGTTCGACCAGAACTATTTTTGTGGACAACCTCATGGGGCATGATGATATTGAAGCTTCGTTCACATCACTGCACCGGTTGAATGCCTCCCTACAGTAGTGACAAGCCTCAACCATGCAATTCTTTCGTGATTTTGAAGATCAAGGATGCTTAGCAGATTCTTGGGATCAATACAAGAGAAAAGCTATCATGAATGGCAATAAATTTCAGACTGCAGGTCGAAGGAATGGTAAGAGTTCAGGTGTTGTGAAGAATCCAAGAAAGACGTTCTTTCTGAAGCTTGCGGCTGAATCTGTGAAAAAGGTGAATATTGCAGTTGATGCACATGGCCTATCATTTGCAAGAAAGGCTATAACTTGATGTGATTTATCCTTGGATGTGAATAGTATGTGGCATGAAGAGCAACTCAATCCAGAGTTGCAAACGCTGATTGCAACATACAGAGTATTTTAATGGCACATATAAATAACAATACGTACAATGTTACACGCATCCCTGTGTGGGCATTCTCTCGTCACAGAGATCGCACTGCAAGTGCCGCGCAGGGAATGGCAACTTCTACAGCAACAAGAGGGGATGATCGTGAAACACACAGTTTATCTTCGCCCGTAACTTATCGCACTGAGCGTGCAAATCAAAATTGCAACTCTCGCACCAGTAGCTCCACTCGCAGTCCACCAATGCAATGCTGCATCAGTCTCATTTCTTCTTGGAGCTCGCGTGGTGGTTCTTCGGCATCCGCGTCAACGGATGCTCTGGGTGCAGGCAGCTCCGGAGTGTAGGCTGCAAGGTACAACAAGCAGGATGAAGATTATACTCGCACTTCTTGCAATGATATTCCCATTCGACGCCGAAATACGAACATAGGTTTCATGTTCGAGACCGCCAGTTCTGATGGTGTACACAAGAGGAGTGTTCGGATGCAATTCGCACGTCAGTCTTGTCTCTTCCTCCATCGATATCAAGCTTGAATTCTCTTCTAAACTCTTTCAACCCTCTCGTTCTCACTCCTCAAGCCTGTTCGCAAATCCTACTTCCTTCCACAAAGAGTTGATTTTGAACAAAAATGAATGTGCAAGAATGGATTTCCTCATTAAATATTGATGCTAGAACATCCAAGTTGAAATTGAGTAGTAATTGTCTAATATATAATCTTCATCCTGCCTGCTGTACCTTGCAACTTCTTAGGTGCCGTTGGAGAGGACTAGGTATTTAAATTCGATTGAGGATCGAGACATTGTTCGTTGCCATTTGTTGTTCCAAGAGTCAGAACAACCGCCAATAGTAAATAAATAACTTCCCACAGAATGACAAGTAGTTGGGCAAGTGGCCCAATCGGCATCAGTGAAACAGATATATCTGAAAACATGTAAGAGCAGCTTGGAGATATTTTTCATGGAGTGCTTGCATGAAGCGGCTGATTAGTCCTAAGACAAAAGAAATATAGAATTGAGTATTTGTTAAATATATGAACTTATCAAGCATGTGGTAGTAAAAACCAGGATCAATTGTCAAAGAAGAAGAGCTAGCTGTAAGATTTGTGTCTAACTAAATGTTGGCTTATATTAGTCTATGTTAAATTCTAACTAGATTTTTTTATAATGACTTTGTTGGTGCACTATATTATTGAGAAGTGGACTTACACTCAATTTTTACATATTATTTGACCTATCTAAGATTTGTCATCCTAAAATGTTGTCAAATGAAATCTTTACATGTTAATTTTAAAGAATTTTTCTTGATGATAAAAAAATCATCAACATATGTTAATAGTAAAGTGATGGAATCTTCATTATAAAAGAAGTAAAGTTTTATATCTAATAAACATGCAATTAGCCTAGCTTTTGCAAAAGAATATTTAATCTTTTAAATCAAACTTTTACAGAGTGCTTGAATCTATATATGGAATTGGAGAGAAGACATATCAAGTTTTCTATGCCAAGGATAGCAAATCTAAGAAATTATCTTATAAATATGATTTTGGTGAATTTGCTATTTAAGAAAGCAATATTAACATCCATGTGTATTAATTCCTATCCTTTGGCAACAACAATAGTAGTCATAATGTATAGAATTGACCATTTGATTAACAAAGCAAAAATTTCAAAGAAATCAATTTTATATTTTTAATAATTTCTTCTTGCAACTAGCTAGTCTTTCAATTTAATATGATTCAAGTTGATTGGTTTTTTTTTGAATATCCATTTGTAAGGCATATCTTGTTTATTAGAAAAAAAAAAAAAAAAAAAAAACTAAAGTCCATATTTGATTTTTGTGAATTGATTCAAGTTTTTTTTTTTACATTGTTGTATACCAATCAAACCAACTAAAAGTCAATAAGTGAGATATTATTGCTTATTAATTCATTGGTTTTTCTAATATATGCATTAATTTTTTTTTGTTGATAAACAGATGTAATAATCAATAAGTCTCATGCTAAGTTTGAAGTCTTGGCATTAATCACAATATGTTAGTAATACAAATCAAATATTTGATACTTGAATAAGAAGTGGATTTGATCCTAGTACATCAAGTGGTTGTATAGAAATCTGTATTGTCTCATTAGGTAGTTTTGTTGGTGAATCTATGTGATTTGAGATGGTTGTTTCTTCAAATGGTACATCTATTTAGTTAGTCAATGTAGGTGCAATATTTGATGCAAGATTTTTTTCAAAGTCTATCTTCATTGAAATAAACAACAAAGTTGAATAAACATCTAATTCAAATTTGTTAAAGCATAAAACTTAGTTTTATTAATATTTTATTTTTGTAATGAGAAACATTAGTACTTTTTAGTAGCTTCATCATATCCAACAAAGATTATCTTGATAGACTTC